GTTATAACATCTTTGGGCTCAAACTTGCTCGGTGCCTCCATGATGTAGAGATTAGCGATAGTGGTGCCAATCCTTTTTTCAGTTATAGGGAGGAGAACCTTATTGAAAAATTCAAAGAGCAGCTGATATTACCTTTTGTAAGCTTCTTATGCACCCCTGCAGGATGAGCATTAGGGATCTTAGAGAATTCCTTCATAAACTCTGTGGTGCAGGTCACATAAATCAGAGACCTAAACCTCCCCGCTGGGTACCTCGACAATTTCTCCCAAAGGATTTTCATCCAAAGAAAACCCCTTTACCAACTAATCTGGAGTTGATGCTCCCGTCTTCCACCAATTCTATGTTATAATAACATTCCCGGACTTCTTCCTTGTGAAGAACATGAGATTTTTTATGAAACAAGAGAATATAAGACTAGAAATTCACCACTTCATGTAATGCGTCTATTCCTGCATTGCAAATGATGTCCATATCAAAATCCCTCCCTTCCAGAATGCACTGTTCACCCAGATTGTTAATAATACTTTTCTTCTCTGCAAGATAATATGCCAAATTTCTCCCAGGACCAAGTCCTGCTCTGAGGGTTCTAGTTCAGTAGGGAAGGTTTATCGCTTCCTTTTTAATGAAACCCTTTTATTTTATGAATAACTTTCCTTTACCCTTTCCATGTTATTCTTATTTCACACAAATGTTTTAGACTTTCCTCTTTTCTTTCCATACTAGCCTTTTTCTTTTGACATGCTTTTCTTTTTTTGTATTTTCTCGTACAATTTCCTATTTAGATCCCTCCCTAGAAATATCAACCACACTATCTATAGGAATCTCAAAGACTATCTCACAAGATGTCTTTTCTTCCGAAGCACAACAGTGCTTAACTCCATGGATTTCATCGTATCTCCAATGAATTTATGAGTTATATCTCTTGTGGAGGGCCTCCTTATTGGCGTGGTATTAGTCACCTTTTCTTTTCCCATTGTCGATTAATAAACCAATACCTTTGGAACCATCGACCTGAGAGGGAGATTATCTTCATATGTGTAAGTTGAATATGAAGGAGGATAGATACCAACCTCAGGAGTTTGATCAAACACAAGTTGAGATCCCTCAAGTAACTGCTCAGTGTTCTGCTCATCTTTTTCATGTATAACTTCTTCCATTATTCATGTTGAACTCTCAACAACTAACTTTTCAATTGCAGTAAGAATGTTTGAAGAGAGAATGTTGGGTTATTGAGGTCAAAGAGAGTCTGGAAGTTAAGATGATTCGAAGGAGGTACAAAATTAGATGATATGTAAAATTCTACAGGATCTATTTCGTTCAGGGAGTCTAAAATGTTCCTTTAAGATGAAATAGATTGAGATATTTTAGTTGATGGATGGTAATTAGATGAATTTGGAGAGAATATAAGATAGAGATACATAGAGGGTTTTGGGAGGAGTATGTGAGAGTGTGTGTGTGTGTGAGAGAGAGAGAGAGAGCGAAAGAAAGTTGAAATAATGGGAGATTGAGTTTGAAAATAAATTGTATAAAAAGAGGTGAAACAGTGTGTGAGAACCCGGAGTAGACGCATCGCTTGAACTTAAAGTGACGGGACAAGTGGTCATAAGTAACAATCGATAAAAAATGGAGATCTGAAAGGTTGTCTGTTCACAATTTAAAAAGAATGTAAAGTATGCTAACCTTGAGAGGAACCAGGTCCTCACTACAAAAGATATTTGATTCTTAGATGATTTCAACCATTCTTGCTACTTTAATTTTTCATTAGTGTATACCTGCAACAGGTATATGATCGATCTCACTTAAAATATTCATTACTAGTATAGATGATACATGCCCTTCAGATCGTAGTTAAAACAAGATTTGGATGCCTTTTTGGATAAAATTAGGTCAGTGCATATACACCATTCCCAGCTTCAACTTGTTGCTCTCAAATTGATTCTTTCTTAGAGCCTTGGTGAAGATGTCTCCAATTTTATCCTCAATCCTGCAATACATCGTGATAATGTTCCCATTTTCAACATTATTTCTCAAGAAGTGATGTGTCTTATAAATGTTCTTTGTTCATTGTGATGGACTAGATTCTTTCCCATGTTGACTGCACTTGTGTAGTCACATATGAGAGGAATGGTATTGATGTGTACTCCAGAATCTTCCAACTGTTGCTTCATCCAATGAAGTTAGGCATAGCAGGATGCATCCGCTACATACTTGGCTTCAGCTGTTGAGAGAGCTATTGAGTTTTGTTTCTTTGTTCCCCAAGAGATGAGTGAAGACCCAAGAAAGTGTCATTCCATAATTTCTCTTCCTATCAACCTAATATCCTGCAAAATGAGCAATATCATACCCTACAAAATCAAAGGAATCACCTGTCAGATAAAAGAGGACCAGGTCCCTTTTTTTCATTAGATATCTTATAATTCACTTTGCAACTTTAAGATATGATTCATTAGGACATGAATGTAATAACGCACACATTCCTACGCTGAAAAAAATATTAAGTCTACTAGCTGTTAAGTTCAACAGAGATCAAATAATGCCACTGTACATGGTTTGATTCACTCGGGTATCAGCTTTATCTTCTCCCATTTTTGGACTTTGTTCTCATAGGTATATCGATATACTTGGAATCCACCATGTTAAACTTCTTTAGCAACTCTTTTGTATACTTCTTCTTGGCTGATTGAAGTACCACATGTGTTCACTCAATCTGCAGGCCAAGGAAAAAAAAATTAAATCTCCCATCATACTCATCTCGAACTCATTTCACATTACAGTAGCAAATTCTTCACACAAATATTCAGAGGTTGCTTTGAAGATGATATCATCCACACACACTTGTATAATGAGAAATTTCTATTCCCTTTTCATTAGAAGCATGTTGTCTATTTCCCCCCTTTTAAATCCATTCTTCAGTAGGAATTTGGGGAGATTTTCATACCAAGATCTATGAGCTTGTTTTAGCCCATATAGAGCCTTATTAAGCTTGTAAACATGATTTGGTCGATCACAAATCCTGGTGGTTGTTTCACGTACACCTTTTTCTTTAGATTTCCATTCAAGAAAGCACTCTTGACATGCATTTGGTAGAGCCTAAATCCCATGAAAGCAACAAAGGCTACGAGAATTCTGATGCCCTCCATTCGAGAAACATCAATAAATGTCTCGTCATAGTCAATACCCTCTTCCTGATTATAACCTTGACAACCATCTGGACTTGTTTGTATTGATAAAAACATTTTCATCAAGCTCTTTTTGGGACACCCACTTTGTCCCTACGATGGTTTTGTCAGTAGGTCTTGCGATCAGGTATCGCATATTGCTCCACTCGAACTGATGTAGTTCATCATGCATTGAGTTGACACAGTCAACATCATTGAGCGCGTGTTTCATATTTTTAGGTTTAATACTAGATATGAAAGCTGAAAATCCAACATATTTCTTGTTTTTAATCTGGTTTGCATTGCAGAATTCAGTAGAGAAATGAGATTCTGAAGGGGTGAGATAAACTGTGCTTCCAACCTAGTTTAGTGACCAATGATTGAGATTGAAAGGTTTTTTCTTCTTCATCTTGTGAATCATCATTCTCAGGAGAATGAATTTCTCTTGGTTTGTATTTATGTAGCGAACCAAGTCCCTCTGTAGAATGATTATCTCCCTTCATTTTTTTCCAGTTGAAGTTCCTATTTTTTCTTGATTAAGTCTTCTGTTAAGTAGTAATCCAGGCGAAAGGTTCGGTTGGGGACCACTGATAATTCTCGAGTGCCAGCCATGTCTAGGGTGTTGACTCAGGGCTTGAAAAATAGGGTATTTGAGCACATAGTTCAAGAGTACTAGGGTATATATGGATCTTTATCTATAGGTTCTTGTAATCGGTGTGAAACATGATAAATCTATAATTAGTATGCTGCGACATTTAGGAACTCTCCACTTTGTTCTTACTCTTTTTCATATGATAGAGTTCAACTCTATAAAAGTTTACTTCCAATTCCTAATTATGTGTATCTTGCCGGTCACACCTCTTTTAGAACTGTTCGAGGACTTCCTACTAGAAGTAATGTTAACCCATAAGGTTTAGACATTCCTAATGCACCAAAAGTGCAACCTCCTTAAAGAGAGGTTACCAATACTTAGTTCCGGGATACTACTAGGATGTTGAGTAAAGTTGTGGAAAATCATTGAGGATACCATTTTTTATGGAAGACTTGCGCAAAGTATTTGAGGTTATGCATATTGAAAATGTTGATCTTGTGGAGTTAGTTTCATACCAACTCAAGTGTGTTTCTAGGATTTGCTATAACCAATAGAAGAAGAGAAGGGTCGAAGGAGCACAACTTGTGAGTTGGGTTATTTTTGAATGTTCTTTCTTAAGGGGCTTCTTCCCACCCTTATCTAAGTAAAGGTAACAGAATATGTTAATATTAAACATTAGTCCATAAGTGTGCACGAGTAAAACCTCAAGTTCACTCACCTATCCCGTTATGCTCTGGAGATGGTGGCTGATATGAGAAGCCCCTCTTACCAAGTAAAGAAGGTAAGGTCGCTACCTTGATAGGGGACATGGATAAATCCAAGCTTATGATCTATGTGCAAAAGGTAAAGGAAGATAAGCTAAAACACAGGAAAGAGTTCTGTAGTAAAAGGCTAACATTTCAATTGATGAGTTTGACCAACAGAAGACTGGAAATTCGAATTTGTCATCATTTTAGAAATGTTCACTTGGACCTGGTCCATAATCAGGAAATACATGTACACCAAATAACAGAGGTGATTTCAGGAGCCAAAATTCACACAACTTCATAGCTCTACCTAATCAATCTTAGTGTAGTGTGGCACAAGGGGCTAATTGGACCCCATTCATGTGCTATTTGCGGTAGGAACCACCAAAAAATGTGTCATGATGGATCTAAGGATGATTCAAGTGTGGTCTTATGAGTCACTTTATGAGAGAGTGCCGTATTAAAAAGAAGGCTAATGAGGGCAACAGAGCCCAATATTCTTCAATGGCTCCGGTAGATAGAGTTGCTCCGATAGGAGCTTATTCAGGGACAGATGGAGGAGAAAACAATCTGTATGCTATAACAAGTCACCAAGAGCAATAGTATTCACTAGATGTTCTCACTATTATGATCAAAGTCTTTAATTTTTATGTTTATGCATTACTAGATCCAAGTGCGAGTGTATCTTTTATGACTCCTTATGTAGCCATAAGGTTCATATTCTTTCCGAACTACTTCTTCATCCCTTAAATGTTTCCATACATATTGGTTAGTCTATCCTATAAGAAAGTGTTTACCAACTCTTTCAATAATAAGAACTTATTGGCTGACTTAATCGACCTAGAGATGATGGACTTTTATGTTATTCTAGGTATGGACTGACTTAACTCTTTTTATTCCTCACTTGATTGTAGAACTCCAGTAGCCAAGTTTCAACTTCCTAATTATCAAGCTTTAAAGTGGAGAGGTAGTTCAATAATTCATTATGATCGTTTTATTTCACACCTTAAGGCTAGAAAATTAGTCTCTAAGGGGTGTATCTATCACTTACCCTGAGTTAAATACTCTAGCATTGAGACACCACCTATTCAGTAAGTTCTAGTTGAGAGTGAGTTTCCAAATGTTTTTCAAGAGATCTTGCCGTAGTCCCTCCGGGAAGAAAAATCAAATTCGGAATAGACATCATTCTTGATACTCAACTTATCTTTATCCCTCCATATAGAATGACTTCAGCTGAGTTAAAAGAGTAGTTCAAATATATTCTTGATAAAGGTTTCATTCGACCTAATGCATCACCTTAAGGCTCTCCGATGTTATCCCTGAGGAAGAAAGAGTGCTCTTTAAAGATGTATATTCATTACCACTGGTTGAACCAGGTCACTAGAAATACTACATATCCTATTCTATGAATTGATGGTTGTTGGTTAGATAATCTCCCAAGTATGATTAAAGAGTATATAGTGTACTTTTATACACCATTACATTTATTTCTCTTTCTTTATAATGTCTCAAATATTGTATCAACATTATTACACACATAAGATTTAAGCTTCTGCATTATTATCGTATTTCATAAATTGAATAAATAATATAAGTTGAGGTTTGTACTAGTTGTTCTACCTACCTAGAATGTTATGTGTAGGTTTCACTCATGTATTGTTTTGGATCGTGAAATGATATTAAATAATACTCATTTTATGTTTTATTAGAATATATGTAGTATTTTTTTAATGTAGATGATAAAATGTGAATCAAAATATATATTTAAAAAATTAAGAGTTAGACTATTTAAACACAAAAATACCCTTAAGAAATAGTTATTAATTTCCTTATAAAATTTGAAATAATATTTAATACATCTTTAATTGATATTAGCTAAGATTAGTATAAATTATACACCATAATCTTGATAAGTTATTATTTATCCCAGATGAAATTATATTCCTTATTTTAAACCACAATTTTAATTTAATAGGATGGAGGTCTACTTTAATTTAATTCATTTGTCCTTTTACACCATTGACTAACTAAAACATCTAAGGGTTGAAACTAAGGATCCATGTCATCAAAAACTTACCAATGAACATGTAGGCCAAACTTCTATAAAATAAATATCTGCATCTCATTCACTTCACACAGTTCAAACTCCAAATTTCCCCCAATTTAAGAATTCTTCCCTTCAATGGAAGCAAAGGCAGAGACCAAGTCGTCGGCTGAGAAGGCTGCTGCCGCCGTCGCTGAAAAATCAAAGTCCATAATGAAGATTCCTACGTACGCCACCGGAGATAAAAAGAGTAAGACGTCGAAGAAGTCTGTTGAAACTTACAAGAACTACATCTTTAAGGTGTTGAAACAAGTTAATCCAGATCTGGACATTTCAAGCAAGGCTATGGGAATCATGAAAAACTTCATCAATGATATCTTTGAAAAACTTTCTCAGGAGTTCTCTACACTTGCTAGGTACAACAAGAAGCGTACCATCACTACTTGGGAGATTCAAACTGCTGTCTGGTTGGTTCTACCCGTTGAATTGGCAAAGCATGCTGCAATTGAGGGTACTACGACGGTTTCCAAATTCAAAATATCTTAGAAATGTGTTTGTTTTGTATAAGCTATCTACCGTTGACCAGCACGGTCCCTCAAAGGATCTACAAACCGGAGGTCAAAACCATAGGTAATGCTTGACAATTATTTTGAAGAAAGCTTTGGGTGTTTTTCCTAATTACTTTAACTTAATTATTTTCTTTTATGTATTAAGCTAAGACATATATAAATGTTTTATGCCCCAATAAACCCATTTTCAACTCTTTCTCCTAAAATTTCTAAACTTGACCAAATTCATCCTTCCAAATTCTCTTAATCTAAGAAAGAAGGAGAAGGGTTAGGGTTTCATTAAGGTTATTATGTTCTCTATTTTCTTGAGTGTAAATGATGTGTTTATTAAACCATGGAGTCCTTTCCTCCATGGGGTCCCTAAGTATTTCAATCTCCAAGTCGATTTTTAATTGATCAAGTTAGGGTTTCATTTCAATGATTGTGGATTCTATTCAATCATGATAAATTATGGTTAAGTATAATCAATTTTGTCTTCTAATGTATTATTTGACGTTACTGAATGATATTAGTTAAAATCACATTTACCAATGCCTAAATTATGCTTTTCAATCATGATTCTTTGATGAAACAATGAAGTATGAATTATGAAGTTATGATGATATGCATATTTTCATGAAGATATTGTAAATGAATTAATGATGCTTTGAGAGGAAAGTATTGATTTTATTGTGAATGAATTTCTCACTTACTATGATGATCATCATTGTAAAAGGTATTTCTCAAAAATAAATTCACATTTGTGAAAGGTCTTTTCATCTATGTTGAATTGTATTTAAGGAGTTATTCGATGTTTTTATTTTAAAAGTTGTGGATTCGGTATTGATAATTTATTTTCTTGTGTTAAAATGATATTTGACTTTTATCTATTACACTAGAACTTAGAATTAGTGCGGAGAGGGCTTTAAGCTGGAGGCTCAAATAGGAAATTCTCTAGTAGAAATCCCTACTCCTAAACTACGTGGTCCCTTAGGATTATGTTAAATGACCAAGATAGTGGATCTATTTTAGCAAACGATGATATGTACGAATTTTACCTTGACAATTAGATTTCCCTTCTATCAGTACGAAGGGATATACATGATTCCATGATATTGCTCTTTTTGTCTTATTATCGGTTAAAGTTAATATCCCATAAATGTCTATGTTTTATTCAAAAGTTTTTCTTGTGTCCTTTATGTTAATATACTTGACCATTTCTCATGATTTTTATGTCATCTTTCTTTAAATATTTTAAATGTTCTATTTTGATCATGCCTACTCATATTAATTTACTTGTATCGTCATGCCTTTGTATTGCCTTATACTTAGTATATTCATGTACTAATGCATACTTGTGCCTATATTGTTTCACCAATGTAGGGTTCGATGCTCCTATATCCAATACTTGTAGCTAGTAACCCGACATAGACGTTGAAGATTGGTGAGTCCTCATGTTTTGAGGACCGAGAATCATTTTGTTACTTTTATGTTGTTTCCATTTCAGATTTTGCCTAGCGTATGCTTACATTCCAAATAAGTTTTTGATGTAGTAAATGACTTTGAAATTTATGTTTAGAATTTCGCTTTTGTAAAAATCATTTGTATGATATGTTGCGCTTTTTGAACTCTTTTGTTTTCTATTATCTTGTATGATGTATCTGTCACGACCCGGTAGCACCCCCAAGTTGTGACATGATGTACATGACATCGAAGAGGTCTTATACAATCCCTTAGTGTTCATTCATCACTTTCCCTTAGTGTTCATTCATCACTTAGGCATAAAAATAGTCCGGAATTAAAAACACTCTCAAACAAGTCAACAATCAAAAACTCATTTATAAGGGAACACTAAGTCTCAATATAGCCAACTTAGACACGTCTCAACATCATAGGGACACAACCATTTACAATCGAAAGAAAACTATTAGAAGTCTATTACATGAATTTAAAGAAACTCCTAAGATAAGTGTCCTCGAATCTTTGAGTACATACAAAGTTTGAAGATAGCGAATCCAAACACTTCAATCTAGGAAGGATCCTTTAGGAACGTCAACCTACAATCGGTGTAAAAAGGTGAAGAAGATGGTGGTATTACAAATATGCACTAAGCATGATGACCATGCAAAAATGTGCTAAAAAGGTCATTCAGTTGAAGTATATGTTTTTCATGTCTTTTTGGTAAAAATATCATAAGACAAGTATAAGAGACATATTAAAAGTCAATATTCACACATAAGACAATTTTAACATCATAAGCATCTTCATCAAGTAGACCATATCATCACTGTAGACCCTCCACCTAAAGTTATCCTAAGACCTACCTAAGTAAAGATTGGAGGGACAGCCTATACTACTTCTCCATACCAACCCTAGGTAATGCTCAAGACTACAATAGATTATGAATTTTCCTTTTCAACTTAAGCCAATAATCAACATTCATTATTAAATACATTTAATGAGAAATTCATGCATTTAGAGAACTTCACATAATAGTCTTTCATGACCTGATTTCTCGAGTCATGATGGTACCTACTATACCCATAAGCCCGACAAGTACACCAAGTAGCTAAGTCTATTAACAAAGAAGAAAATTGGTGTCTTAGCCCAAAGTAACCAAGATAATCCATCGGACTCCACCCATCCTGTAGTGCACTCCTAGCCCAACTAGAAAGAGTGACCTGCACCCTACCAAACAGTCTACTCCCAGCCCAACAAGAAAGAGGGACCCGAGGGTTGAATTGATATCACGAGTCATCCTACCATAAAGTAAACTCACATCCTAACTAAAAGAGCGATATAGGGACACCTAGCCAGCAACACACTCAAACCTAGTCATAAAGAGAGAACCATTGAAATCACTGAGTCTACCCACCAAGTTATTCGCTCCCAGCCCAGCTAGAAAGAATGACCCAGGGGCGATGCTATCTCCAATAGGATCTAATAATATAACATATATCAATGGAACTCTGTTCACTCTAAGAAATCACAGAAAAGGCTTCAAGGTTATACTATCTCATTCCCACACCTTTAGTGATACAATGAACCTTCGAGAATGCATCGGAATCGTAAAACTAGAGGGAGTTGATACAGAAGTGCAAGAAGCAATGCTAGCACCTAATCTAAGTCTCAAACTATCAAACACAAATTAGCTACTCCAGTTTACAAGGAGCAAAGTCATCCATACGACGTCAACATAAAGTCAAGGTTGTCCAACCTACACGGGTCATAAGTCTAAGGCAATGCTAGCTTAACCTAGACTAAGGAATCATGCTTACGGTTGAATATGAAAAAAGCATACAACATATTGCATACAAGCTTACAATAACATTTATCACATAAGCATGCAACTCTACTATCCTAGTTAACTTGTAACTACACCCAAAATATGACCAATTGATCCTAACATAAGGTATCTAATAAAAGTAAAGTAAAAAACTTGTACCCACCCCCAATCCACTCCATCAACATTATTTTACACAATTAACCTCAATGTAATAGAAAGGAAGCCATAACCTACCTTTAGGTTGACCGTGCACGCCCCAAATCACTTTGCCGGAGCTTTTCCTTAGAAAGACCCTTTAACTCTATGAATCTATCAAATATAGGATCAGAACGTTAGTATGCTTGTTTAGAAACAAAAATCACAACAAACGAAGTTAGGTCAACTTTTAGAGTTAAAACGGGAATGGTGGGACCCGCACCTAAATGTTTGGATTTGACTCCTCCAAGAGATCCAAAACAATACGCCAAACTTGTGGTCCAAAATGGAACACAATTGGGGCTCAAAATTCAACAAACCTCAAACATGTAAGAAACCCACACTTTAATCAACTTTAAAGTAGCATGCAACAGTCTAATCTTGGAATTGAAGAGAATCAAAATGTGCCCAATCCTCTTTGAACACTCCACAACATAGACTTGATAATTCTCAACATGTGTGACTTTGAATCACCAAAAACCGAGCTAAAATTAGAGAGCTATGACCAATACAAGAAAGCCAAAAACAAATGCTTGAAAAAGGGACTAACAGTCAGGTTTATCACGAAATTTACCTCGAAATATGCACACTTGACAACGAAAAAATACTTTATAGTGAAGCCACAAAAAATACAAAGCTCCCGCACTTTGAATCACCAAATGCGGTTGATAGATGAGGGAGTTGAGAGGTTTTATAGATTTTCCAAAATATGTATATATTTTTCAGCAATTTATAGTTGATTTTCTGCAATATTTCCTGAAAACTTAAAAACATCTCGGGGTGCTCTGAACTCGTTTAGAACCCTGTGCATGCAAATGACATATGCAACCATATTAAATTTGATATTCCAGACTTAATGGGGCAGTCAATATTTCTATATAAGGTCATCTTGACAAAAAATGGGTCCCACACCCAACCACCATTTTAAGTCGAAAACCACAAAAGGGTTTGCAATAATCTCGGAGTCCTTAGGACACAAAAGAAGGGTCATTCTAGACCAAACTCAACATTTCAGAGCATACCGCATAGATAAAATTCTTATTCAAGCGTGTTTACTCAGAATGTTGACTAAAGTAAAACTTAGGCTTAAACATAAAGTTAAAATGCCTAATTGCACCAACTCATATTGAAAACCTCGAGAGTCATGCTCTCCAGCAACTACCCTAAAATGACCCTTCCAGAGCTGATGAAATCGTCAGAATTTGATTTTGATGTAATTTTCTTGAACTTTTGATCAAAAATGATTATTTAAGGTTCATAAGCTCCAAAATTATTAAAACTCGCACAATAACCAAATGAACAACCAGATGACCGATCTATCAGTCCCAACAAGTTATAAATGACTTGGATCGCTATAGAAACGCTCTAAACGACACACACAAGGCAAAACACAAAAATGACAAATAGGGTCATTACAATATCTATTACACAAAAAGGACATCCGTCCTTGAATTTAAGAGTTAAAGGTACCTAAATTCTCAAACAAGACAAAAAAATTCTCTTGTATCTTCTGCTCG